CCCCCCCCCCCCCCCCCCCGCGGACCGATGTAGAAAACAAGCTCGAATACCCCCCGCGGGACAAGAGGATGCCGAAAGAAAATAACAGGTTTTCGGAAAGCCCTCGACGAGACCGACGCCGCAAAAACTTCGGTACTGCTGCTGTCACCCTTCCTGCCGCGGAGGTATCGAGCTTCTGGACATCGATCCACGGGAATTTGACAGCTTGTATCACCTAGTGCATGCTCGAGCGGGACTATAGACTTGCCGGGATTTGGCAATTGATCCATATCCATCAGGAGACCATCTGAATGTAGGCGTGACGGATGCTTGATCAAGTGCCAATCCTGGCAAGTCCATAGGACACACACAAGAAGTGTCACGACGGCGGCCATGCCAAGGGCAGGCAGCGGGTAGGATGGTCGGCAGGCGGGAACGATCATTCTACAAGCTGAGCGGCATGTACGTCCAAAGCCGGGTTGAGTGCACGATGAAATGCATCCATGCATCTCTCGCCATCTGCAGCGCAAAGAACCGCGGTCCGAGTAGTAGACTATAGCAGTGGCGGAGTTTGGGTGCGGTAGCTTCGTCAGAGGCCGATAGAGAAAAGAACGTTTGACTCAAGACCTTATTTGTTTAGAGAGTGAGAGACATGTGGCAGGCCACACCATCGCCATGTAGCAGCGTTGCACCCAAAACAAGCGGCGAGGAGAAAAAACGAACGAGCCTTTTCCGGTCCACACCACCTCTTCCTAGAAATTCGGACGTGTCCTGCCCTAGCAGGCCGGCACGTCATGAGGCCGATAGCCAACTCCTCCCGCACACGTACCCCCCCTCCCCACTACTGCTATTGAGTGCGTGCTTCGCAAAGGCAGTGAGTAGTGTTGGTTCCTTTTAGTCGACCACCTCGCTCATCACTCACCGGTGACCGGGACGTCTTTCGCCGTGAAGAGCCGGTGCAGCCGCCAGAAGCCCGCCCGGCTACCGTACTCGTATAGCGACTCCATGTTGGGGCAGCGCACGCCCTCCTTCGGCGCCGCCCCGACGATCTCGGAAAGGAGGTGCTGCACAAAAAAAAAGAGGAGGACGGGGGACAGGGGACAGCGGCGGAAGTGGCGGAAAACAACACAACCCACAAACCGTACGCACACAGAGACGACGAGAGATAGATAGAGAGAGAGAGAGAGAGAGAGAGAGA